TATGTGGTATTACCACATTTAGAGGTAGGTGCCTATGCTGCCCATACAGAATTCAGAATGGTTTCATAATTTGCTAAGGCTGTCTAAACTATTTGAAAGGGTAAAACAATAGGTAGGTACCACAGTTACTCAGTTTTCTTGACTGCTGTTGCCACTTGAGGTTTTATTATTAGTAAGATCAGGCACATTCAATAGTATTTCATGCACAAGAGATGGACTTTGGCTCCATGAAGAGCATAATCAAATTCTTGGAAAGCGAATGCAGATTTAGAGAGATGCTCCTTTATATGTCTTTTACTTAAGACCTAGCTGACACAAGCAACTGAAATTTGCTGCTAAATGAATCAAGACAGTACCGTGCATTTCAAAGCAGCATTAAAATCGGTGCTTGCCTCAGCAGGATTTGGTGCTCCTGATTCATGCCTGTATAACATTAAAGCTGAATTAGAATACTGCCGTTCTTTATTTGTAATCCTCCTTGATTGTTTGCTTTCACTAACATGTTATTCAGCTTAAAGAGTATTTACTAAAACTGAACTGTATGAGCATGCAGAGCATTGACAATGTCACATGAGCTCCCATTATCTGTAAATTATTTTATACACACCAAGTTTTAAGCCATATACAGTTTAGATACATTTAAACTATGGATCCAAACCTTTAATCCATATTGTTCTAACTCCTTTTATACTTATTGCGTGCGGAAATTAACACATATAAGCAAACTTAATTTGGGTATTTTCATTGCTACTGGTGATGAGATATGGAAGCCTTACTCATTCTGGAACAGATGGTAGAAACAGAAATTTCTCCCAACAAAACTAAACTTGATCTAGAGGAATTCTCTCTAGAGAACCTCTCTGTGAGGTTCGGTCTTGATCGCTGTATGGTCTCTGTGTCATCGCTGCTGTCCCACCCCAAAAATAAATTTAAAAAAAAAAAAAGGATTAGTACTGAGAGGCACCATTGGCAAAGATGCTGACTGTGATGACAGCTCAAGAATTCTGAGATGTGGACCCCTAATGCTGCTACTCGGTTAAACACTTTTTCCTGCACAAAAGCACAGTAAGGGGTTGCCACTGATGGCACATAATGGCATAAATATGCCTGGGAAATGCTGATATATTTAGTAACAAGTACCTCTGCCTACCAAGAACTGCTGAGATCCACTCACTCAGTTTTAAACAAGGAAACATTAGCAGTAGCTAAAACACTTAGGTGAAAATATTTGAGGTGTGACTAGAAATGTAGAAAGGAATAGCGGGAAGGAAAGGCTCTTCCTCCTGGTAATTCTGAGGAACCTATGATGTCAGCCATCACTAAAAAAATATCCCTGCTTTCCACTTCTTATAGGACTAATGACAGGATTTTTCAGATTAAGCTATGGTGTAGATCAAGAACATTTAGCTTTAATGCTTCTATCCTTAGATTTAAGAAATCTTCAGTGCCTATAAGCTGCAGAAAAACAATTCCAGAGATAAAGATTTATATTCTTGATAATGGGGCAGGCTCACATAAATAATTGAGCTGAACTTAAATTTCATTCCAGCTGTAAAGCGTCTGCCTCTTATTGAGCTGCATTGCATGATGAGAGGTTTGACTACATCAGTCATTCATAGCCATTGTCAGAAATAAATTGCTAGATTAACTTGTGACTATGGCAATCACAGGAAATGTGCGCTTTTTGGGAAAATAATGTTCCTGAACTTCTGCACTTGATGGAATAATCAAAATCTTCCCAAGGGATTCAGACAGATATTGGCATGGTAACGTGAAAGGGGCTGGAGTGTCCTATCCATTTTGTTTTCATTTTGCATTTCCAGGTCCATGCAGAGTATGGATTAAACAAACAAACAAAAAACAATGCCACAATTAGCATCTATTTTGCATCTAATGAAACAGAAGTCGACAACTACTTTGTCCGTAGTTATTTCAAGCCTTACATTTCCATCTAGGGCTTCATCCAAACTCTAATGAAATAAATTCTTGGATCAGAACCATAGATTCGTTGCCAGCACTGGGTTTTGAAACCTTCTACACTCCTCAGTACCCACATAACAATTATTGAGGAAGACTTGCAGGCTATTGCAGTTATTTCTCATCCACATGTTTAACAGGGCAGGTCGTCTTTAACGTGAAAATACCAAAAGACTTTATAACCTCAAGCTTACTGCCACAAACCAGAGACACTACTTATTTGAATCTGGTACCCAGTATCTGAAGACACTGAATTATTTCCAGTAGACCGTTTACTTTGATGAGCATAGAATTAGCCTTGCATCCTGAGTCTTTATGTGAAATTTTATTTGTCCAAAGCAAATATGACCTGTTAAGATTTACAGGCTTTATTAGCAGCAATAACAATTTTACAATCAACATCAGTAAATCAGGGTTTATTGAAAACTCTACAATTTTTATCTGTAGAAAGCATAAAATGTCAGTTTTTCATTGGATATAATTCCTAACTGTCATAAAAGACAGATATCCTGTTTAATTGTTGAGTGTAAAGCAGTGTAGTTCAAATAATTCTAAAATTGTCAGTAAAATTCCAACAGTGTTGACTGAGAATCATAATTTTTTCCCAAATGGCTGAATTCCAACCAAGATAGCATTTTTGGCTATTTAACTACACAGAAATTGGAAAGCAGTCAAATGTATGCAATCAGTTCAGCAAACCATACTTGTTGGGTAGAAGTGTACCTATCATCATTTGTTTCTTTTGGTCTCAAAGAAAACACACAGATTTTATATAGTTTTTCACTTGAAAACTTTCTGCTCACCTTTAAACGCTGTATTTTTAGAATAAGTAACAAAACCAAACTGACGTACATGGTAGCATACTCTTCAAACTATGAAAATAGTCAATGTAGAAAAACATACTACAATCTCCTAAGGAAGGTACTAGGATCCTTACCACGTTAAAGAATGTTCCATCAGTGAACATACAGTGTAATGCAAGACACAAGGAATACTTGAAGGCTACAAAGTTTTGAGAGTGTATATTAGGCAATTGAACAGAGGAAAAAAAAGAGTGGTGGGTAAAAGAGAGCTGAATTCAAAACCAGCTCTGACTAGAACTGGGAAGCCTTTGATAGTGCTTACACACAGGACAGAGAGCCCTAGAGCAGCATGTCTGGAAGGGAGAGTGGGGGAAGGAAGAGGAAGACGACCAGAGTTTGAAGGCACTGGACAAGGCAGAGTTTCTCCATGAAAACTGGGCTCCCAAGGCTGACACACACCACCAGGACTGCAGGTCAGATATATTTCCACTGCCAAGAAAGACATTTTGCAGTCAAGTAGAGGCCACATCACTCTTCATTTCACCTTGTAACTACTTGTTTCCAGCCTTTTTCCTGCAACTCTGCACTTGATTTTGGGCATTTTGTTAATAAACATTCACTTGTTTTACTATAAAGTCTGTCTAGTTTGTGGAACAAGGGGAACCAGGGTGAAAGGAATAAGCAAAGTCAAAATTTTTACCAGAGAGACAGCAAATCTATCTGAGACAGGATACACTGGCAATCTGGAGGGATATGCATTCAGAAAACCTGGTTTAGCAGTGCACATTGAGAGAAAAAGGTCACTGAGGTTGCCAACTGGTGGCTTTGAGGAATCTCTGCAGGCAGTGATTACCATCCCTTCTGCAGAGAGTATGGGCAATGAATCCCTCACAGACCAAGGAAGTTTAGGCCATTACACCTTTGGAAGTTTGTTTTGTCTACAAAATAGACATGTTTACCAGAATACACATTTCAATAATTTTGGCAATTCTCTGTAATGCAGTATCCATTTTTCTAGTTACACTAAACATGAATAAAAATAATACACAGCTGAGGAGAATGTAGTAGCAGAAATCTGAATGACAGAGTAATGCAGATTAGATGCCTAGATACAAATTCATCTACTCGCCATTCTTACTTCTAACTCATTTTCCTTCTGGTCTTTAACACTTCTACCTGACTGTCAGTGTGGTTTGCACCCCAGTTTGCTGCATTTCTCCTCTCTTTATTTTCAATTGCATCTGCTCAACATGCTTCTCCTTAATGAAAAAGACGCAGGTTTCTTTGGAGTTTATTTTTCATTGCTTCTTTTGTTCCTTCAATTAGAACGTACCACAGCAGTAGTGGAGATAAGGGGCAAAAACAACTTCTGAGCGATACTATTTGTCTTACTCATCAAAAGATGCTAAAGAGCACACTGCAGAGTGTGCAATTAGAAATACAGCACAGTATTACCGGGCTGCTCCGCAGCTCTAGCCCTGTGGCTGAGCCTACACTGCAGCCTGAATGTGGTGACTGTAGCTCACCCAGATACACAGGAGTTCGGTTTAAACTACTGATCTCAGTCTTGCCATGGCAGCACTGGCTGAAGACTACCATCACCAGTCTGCTTTTTGATAGGTAAGAACAGTGTGATGCCACGCTGGCTGCCACCATCAGATTTTCTTTTTTTTTTAATGCCTCTCTAGCAGATATTTAAACACAACCCACTTCAAACATCTTCCCCCAAGAACAGTCTGGCTATTATCATTTTAAGGCATCCCCATTCATTTCCTGTTAAGATTCAACTCTCTTGACAAAAAACATGTTTAAAGCTAAGCAAAAAACCCCCAAATTATTATTTGCAGCAGATTTTCTCTCTCCAGCAACAATTTATCAGAATATTTTTAGGGTTTTTCTTCTTTATTTTTCAATGAGAAAAGTAATTTCTGAGAAAATAAGTAACAATCTCTTTTCCATTTGTAAGCATAAAACTTGAAAATTTTATCAAAACTAGGATTTTTTCAGCAAACGATCCTGAATTTTGATAAAAAGCTGTACTTTTTTAAAACTTATGTAATGAAAAAATACGGATTTAAAGCAGTCAGTGAGAGAAGAGCACTGTAACCAACACTGGACCTTGAAAACCACATGGTAGCTAAGCCCTTTCTGCTTCTCTCCCCGTTTCTCACCAGCCCAGGAGGCATCAGCCACCAGCAGTGACACTGCACAAAGCCTCACCTCAGCTGCAGGGACTCCCTCAGGTGGCCGACAGTGGAGAACGATCATCCCTTCGATAGGAACCTCCTTCCCTTGTGGGTCTTGCTCAAAGTTTTTCCGTAAATCTGCAGAGTTTAATGCAATAATTCATTACACCTCCAAAAGCCATTCCTCCCCAAACAATAATATGTAGGCTGCAGAAGTGAGCAACAATACCGCTTTGCCATATTCTTCTCTTAGGTGTGTGTATAAAGCAATGGACAACCGAGAGCTACTAATTCTTCCCCAGAGGAGAGGCAGAGAGATCCTACTGTCTTTAGCTGTGTTTCCTTTTCTCCACCTTTAAGAAATGATCTGGGGGTGACTACAGAGACAATCAACATCAGAACCCACAGACTCCGTGGTTCCAGTTGTGCGTTTAATCTCTTAAGCCTTTCCAAAATGGAAGAATTAAATGCAACAACAACAACAACATGGTACTGTTAGGACCAACTGAATGAATCCAAGACTTGGTAATTTTCCTAGTACATGCTACTTCCAAGGACCAACTGAATGAATCCAAGACTTGGTGAGTAATTTTCCTAGTACATGCTACTTCCGATGAGTGCCAGGGTATTTTATAAGATGTTCTAAGCTACATGTTTTGTTTAGATCGCCTACATACTGCAAGCTGTAGGGAAAGAAAGGAAACGACTGAGAGCAATTCCACACATTCCAAACTGGCTGATTACAGACTGCTTCATTTCAGATACCATGGCCAAGCTAATAATTCAGGATAAGAAACAGGGCACATTGTCTCAGAGCGACACTGATGTGGCCACAGCACTTCAATGTACAAGTGTTCGGGTAAACCAGGACAGACACAAAGGAAACTGTATCCAGTGACATTGACCTGACCCAGATATGCCCATGAATATGTAAAGTTTTGCTTGCTGTGAAAGGAAAACAAAACAGAAGAAATGTTACTTACTACATGTGCTTTGAGAGTTAGGATGTTTCCATTAGACACACTCGTTTTCTTCAAACAGTGTCTCAAATTCCACAGTGTGGATTTACTGATTTAATTTTCTCCATTGCTTACACTTCATGAAATACAACCCCTTAAACAGCAGAGGCTCTGAATCAGTTACACTTTAATATATTTTATAAAATACATTAAGACTTATTTTAGCGAGCTGATCGCTAGAGAAAGATACATGCAGTGCATGTATTCTCCTTTTTATGATTCTTTGTTAATGCTGATTTTTTTTCCACACAGATAACCAATATCTTTTCCAGTACCCTATTTAAAAAGTCATTCATTAACAGTTAGGCTGCAGTTGTGCCTACAAATGCCTGTATTAGGATGAAAAATGGAATAAGAGCCATCTTCTCATTTTCTCTGTGTTCCACACTATCATAAAGAAATACTTACCTCCTTTTTCAGAGAAATATAAAGTGCTGTAATGCTTTGGACTTGACTCACAATTCAGAATCTCTAGGCTTTAAGTGCAAACCAAAGAAAAAAGGAAAGAAAGAAAAAAAAAGAATGTCGACACTACCACACTACACATCACAATGACAGGTGCTGTGAAAAAGTTATGGGTTCTGTATGCTATCACAAATGGGACCTACACATTCTCATCTCTAGTCCTCCAAAGGGTATTCCCCAAGTCAGAAATCCATGCCCCAAATTAAGTGGCTAGGTTGTTCACAGGATGACACAGGTCCATGAAAGGGTGAGCCCTGGAAACTCACAGGTATCTGTTGGCAGCTATTCATTTTTTCCGTCTGGACACTAGTAAGTCCCATCATCTCTGCACTCAAGAATTGCTGTTCTTTTCATAAAAAAACATGGCTTCGAGTAAAAGTAGCACAGCAAATGGCCAGTACAGGAACACAGTTCTCAGACGAAACATTCAGCCATGCTCAGTACATTACATAAAGCAGAAATGAAGAGCACTCTCTGGACTGCCTGCTAGGTTAATATGGTATCTGCAGTTAGGGATGGCAGCCGGGGATGTGGTTTGCAGAGGAACTGGTACCACAGTGATGGGTTTAAAAGTCCCAACACACGGCTCCACCTGCTTCTGCTCAGTCTGATTTTTACTCATATTGCCATATTATGGGGTTGGGAAATCACAGCACGGAGAAAAGTCAATAAAAATTCAATTCAGAATAATAGTCCTTTGCAGCTTAGCAATACAGGGGAATTATTAGCTCATTCAGTGTTATGACAGTTAATGCCGTAAAATAAAAAACTGAATTTACACATATTTACCCATTCAAACTAAATCAGCCAACAAAAAAATCCGTCATTTATAAAATCAAGGAGTTGTTACGTTGTCCTATTACTTATCTCAAATGCTTATTTTACGTTATCCTGTTAAAAGATTTATCAAGAATTGCTGGAACACTAGCTGATAAAATTACCATTCAGAGTTTCTTGCTTGAGCCTCCCCAACCCGTTCCTCCTGCCCCTCATCTCCTTCCAAGAAGCATTTCTCCCAACTCTTTTCAGCTTGTTGCCATCATTTCCTGGGAGTAGGTCTTTAAAGACCTGAACTGGTGATTCAAAGGGTAAGGGTTCACAACAGATTGGGGGAAAGTAATTTCCTGAATTCTCTGCTAGCAGCACTGCTGCAAAAGGATGGTTTCCCACTCTCGTTCTGTTAGAACAATGTAGCAGATCTAATTGCAAGGTAAAAACTGGGTGAGTTTGAGTATCTCCACAGTCTCATAGTAACAATTGTATTTGGGTTCTGTCTTTTTTCTGTCCCTCTTGCTATGATGGCATTTATTGCATTTTCCATTTTTTGCGTCTTTCAAATAATGATCTGTTGATTGAGAATTATAACACTACAGCATGCTATTTCAGATATGAAGAACAGAGATAAACTGAACACTTCCTATCTGGGGACAATGGTTGGGTTGTCCTTTGCTCCCCACTGTATTAAAAGTTCTGGAATGAGTCTTCTAGATTAAACAAAATAACCCCCTTCCCCCACAACTCTTAATTAATCTACAGTGGTGTTATTTAAAACTTAACATTTGTCAGCCTACAAGACCAGAGTTATTCCCTTTGTTTAAAGTAGGAAGTAATGATACCCCTCAGCAAATAGTGACAGCAGCTACCGTATCCACATGGCCTTCTTCAAAATTACCACTGGTAATGACTCCGTCCCTGTTTGGTATGACTTAGAAAGAGATACATTTTAAGTGAATAATTCACAACTCTGCACAGTGGAATTCCTTTCTAATCCCATTATGGCAAGCAGCAGGCATATAGAATCATTTATAAGTAGCTTAACAGCACAGTGTAATTATGTAGGGTCCAACGGTCCAATTTCTTAATACTGGACATCACACCATGTGACTCTCTAGGTCACGCAACTGGCTTCAAAGTCAAAGCATAAGCCTTGTGGAAGGCATACGAAAAAGCAGATGTTAGCACCTGGGAACACACACCAGCCTCAAATCCATTCCCATCTCCCTCTGGTAACCTTCGGTCACAACGGGGATGGCAGCAAGATGGAATAATCCTACCAGCCAGAAGTTGAAGAAGAGTATTGCTATTAGCCGTCTTCCCACACAAGAAGGGCTGATCCTCTGTGTAATGTCCTCCAGCATGGGAAGCACATGCTGAGCTCGTAAGTTCTTCATTATGATCCATGCAAGACTCTGAGAAGCTGTTGTCTGATTTTCCAGTCCAAGGATGAAGTGCAAGAATAATACTTTCACCTTGTTACAAGAAGGAAATTTTTCCTAAGCTGCTTTAACTGGTCTGAATGACAGATTCAACCATCTGATCCAGATTTCCCATCAACTACGTAGTTAAAAAAGTGGAAGACTACTTACCTTGCTTACGAATGATTTTATTATCTTCAGTAGTGGCTCTTATAAATGTCTATATGAACAGCATTTTAAATTATTTTTTTCTAAACAACATATGCTTAGTCCCATAAAGAAATGACAGAATTTCTCTAGCAGTCTTAGTTCTGTTTAGGATGTTTGTATCTCATTTCCTCATAGAAAGGAGGGAAGATACTTTTCCCTCTATTGATTGGAATTATTCAATTTTTCCTACTTTTATCTCATTTTCCCCACAGCTTATCATACCTGATGACCAATGATATGCTTCAATATTGAAAACCAGATTTAAAATACCATGCTACAAAAGTTTCTTATGTATTCTTGCTTTTTTTTTTATACAAAGTGTAGAAGACAGACATTGTTAAATGGATTTTCATATTGTTTAGACCCCTGTGATCAACATGGAGCAAAAGGGCACTTTTCAGGGGATTTTCAATTTATCATACCTGATGACCAATGATATGCTTCAATATTGAAAACCAGATTTAAAATACCATGCTACAAAAGTTTCTTATGTATTCTTGCTTTTTTTTTTATACAAAGTGTAGAAGACAGACATTGTTAAATGGATTTTCATATTGTTTAGACCCCTGTGATCAACATGGAGCAAAAGGGCACTTTTCAGGGGATTTTCAATTTGCATTAACCTTTTTTATTACATTGCGTTGTTGACACTGTGTATATATGCAATCCAGAATTTCTGAAACAGACTTTCTCAGTGTAAATGCAAATCAATCAATCCACCTTAAAATAAGAGAGAGCTCTGAAAAAAACCCATGGCATGCTTTCTGTGACATTCCTGCAGTATCTCATAGGGAGGGCTTGCAAAGACAGCAGTACCTTACCAGCATCCATTTATATTTAACACCAATGATATGCTTCAATATTGAAAACCAGATTTAAAATACCATGCTACAAAAGCTTCTAATGTATTCTCGCTTTTTTTTTTATACAAAGTGTAGAAGACAGACATTGTTAAATGGATTTTCATATTGTTTAGACCCCTGTGATCAACATGGAGCAAAAGGGCACTTTTCAGGGGATTTTCAATTTGCATTAACCTTTTTTATTACATTGCGTTGTTGTGACACTGTGTATATGCAATCCAGAATTTCTGAAACAGACTTTCTCAGTGTAAATGCAAATCAATCAATCCACCTTAAAATAAGAGAGAGCTCTGAAAAAAACCCATGGCATGCTTTCTGTGACATTCCTGCAGTATCTCATAGGGAGGGCTTGCAAAGACAGCAGTACCTTACCAGCATCCATTTATATTTAACCCTAAAAGAACAGTATGTTTCCATACCTTTCAAAACCTAAGAGCAGAACATTTACTTTACTCACAAGCTATGCGGACAGATGCTTTCCTACTCTTTGACGTCCCTAGATGGCTCCATGCAACACACTGGCACCAGTAATCTTCTGGCCCATGAAAATCTTCCACCTGCTGTCTGGTCACATTGATGAACACCTCTCGAACTTTCAATCCTGAAGGGGAAAGACACAGAAAATTAGCTGATACAGGCTATCTTACTTGGGCATAAAGCTAAGGTTAGCCAAACCTTTTCTTTTAATTAAACAATTCCATTTTTAATCAAGGTAAAGCTCTAATTACTTTGACAATAATATATTGCCACTAATTAAATTCTAAAAGCTGAGTAGGTCATAATGCATCGAGTTACAAGAATTACCCCACCCACTGTGGTCTTTGCAAGAATATAACACCTCCCTCAGAAACCTTGTCTCTTGTGCCTTTTTCATCCAGAATGTTTATCTGAAATTTTATAATAGAATATACAATAAAATTGTCTTCCCATCTAACATCTCAGTGCCCTTGAAAAACCTTTCTGAAATAGCCTGGTAGGCCCCCAATCAAGTCAAACAGCCAGAACTATGCATGTATGACAGGAACTAATCAAATGCCCCACTGAATTCCAGCCTGTTCCAGCCACTACTACCACAGTTCCATCCAGCAGCCATTTCCTCATAGGGGAGAGAAAAGCTGTGTCTCATACCGCAGTGTAGAGAAAGCTAAGCTCAAGCCATTACAGTCTGGAAAGAGGAGGAAAAAAAAGAGAGGGGAATAAATTTCACAGCTCACAACTGGAGATGGTCCTCTTCACCACCCTATCCTTCTGGGAAACAGTGAACCAGCTACAAAACTGAAGTCTTGCCTTTCTTAACTTTCACGAACAGAAGTGTTTATAACATCAGACAGATACCTTGCTTATTTAATACGGTTTCCCAAAGTATAATCTTGCTAAATTCATCTACAGTGCAATGTTGTTGTTGTCTACTGCAAATTTACTTGTTGTTTATCAAAATACATGCATGCTTCTTTCCTGAGGTACGAATCAGTTACACCTAAAGAGCTGAGAAAAGGATCTAAGGGAATAATCAAGGCTAGCCAGGAGTAAAGATGGGAAAAGCCCTGTGCTTTTTCTTAGCCTGCTAGCATTTTCATAACCTCCTGGGCACAGGTGATATTTAGCAGTATTGCCCTTCTGACCAGAAGCATTTGCTTCAGACAAAGCCTGAAGGCAAATACAAGACATCAAGAAGCCTTGTAAACCTGACACCTTGTTTTATGCACTTGGGATGTTTGCCATATCTGCAACTACCTCTGCACGACAACCTTGGGGAGAGGAAATATAATCCAAATCTGGGTTAAAAGGCATTAGGAATCACTTGAAAGAGCTAGTCAGAAAAACATTAATTTGAAAATAGAAAACATTCATGCCTACTACTTTCTTCTTTCTCCTCCTGTGCAGTCCCAAGATACTTATTTCCCCTTCACTGGAAATGAATGAAAACTCAATCTTAAAATATTTCATGCCTGTGAAGTTTATAAAGCAGCAAGACATTTCTAAACCCAAACTCCATAAAAATTGGCTTCCGCTTAATCTCAGGCATCATTAACAGCTGGGTATTTCACTTCTGAAAGGCACTAGGAAGTCAACATGTTCCTTTGGTAAACCGGAGAGATGAGGCCCACTGGGGATGCTCAGTGAAGAAGGGCGGGGAAGGTCAGACAAGCTTTAAATACTATAAAGCAATACAAAATTTTTGCTACTTTTCCAGCAACAGGCAAAGGGGATTTTTACTTCTTTTCATTTAGCCTGTTTGGCTTGCCATATGTCACAATGATACCCAAAGACACGGACAAACCTGCGATAGCTTCCTAAGTTGCCTCAATAATCATTTTAGTCACTCAGATATTTATTCACTCTGTAATAAACAAACAGAGGTTTCCTGGTTGTTTTTATTTGCATTTTGAGGTTTTTTTTAAGTATGTTGATGCAGTTTTCAACAAAACTGTTTACAAAACATCCCTTTATTTTCTGCCATGGTGAAAACAAGCCATTATGAAGTAAACACAGCACATGGAACTCAGCAGTTCTGTCAGAAACTCCTCTCCTTGCTGACATACTGACCGTGAAATGCACGATGAAAATGCACCATCTCAATTTAAACATCCACATTTCTCTGGCAGCGATGAATCCTTGGATTCTCAGTCATACAACCATTTTGTAGAGCGATCTTTAAAGATAAGAGCAGCTGCAGTAGGAAGTTCCATCAGAGAGCATCTGGAGTCCTGGTGACCTGACACAGCAGGTCTTAACTGGCTGAATATTTGGCATCCCACCACGCTATACGACACTGACAGACATACACTTTCGTGTTACTTACCTATGGCAAATCAAGCTGTGTGCAGTCCCTGAATGATCTCAATCAAAGCTACAAAGCATCAAAGCGCCAGAGCCTCCAAATCCAAGCTCATTTGCAGCCATGTCCAACAAGGTTGCAACCCATCTACTTAAAGACTTTTTCAACAAGGGTGTAAAATGGTTAAGTCCTTGACAAATATTGATCTTTCTGAGATGGCCTGTCTCCAGTCAGGAATTGCTCATCCAGCATTCAATTAGCTGACATGCACTTCTGTGCAGCCATGTACATCATATCTGTCTGCCTGTAAACACAGTGTTGCTCTGTATGTTGCTGTGAAGGTAGAGCCTCTTGCTTGTACCCGAGTATCTCTAGCAATCCTCCCATCCCATGATCAGCTTATTCCCACTATGACCTCTAAGTAGCATCTTCCTGGGGAAGAGAATACTCCCTGTCACCAGCCATAAACTACAGCCTTGCTGACAGTGCTGCCATTCACCCACCTGGTTCTGGTACACTGTCGTCTGAACTCTCAATTTCTGAGCTACTCTAGGAATTTTTGGAAGCAGCAAATAGAAACAAGGGTATGAGAACTGCATATTATACAGCTTACTAGTGCATCCATGCTAACGACGACAGAACCTTTACTGATACCAAACAAAAAAATCATCACATGCTGATGATTTTTTTGAGAAGCAGAAGCCATTTCTAGGCTCATTGGTACTGTAAAATTCTGAGCAGTCATCAGTGAATACAGGCATTTACAGCTGCAGATGTAGTAAGGTAGAATATTCTCCAGCCCAGCTCTACCTTTCATTGACACATTATTTAATTAATTTATATATCAGCCCATATTTTCTGAAGCAACATTTAATGTGGTTTGAATCAGGCAAACAAACAGTACATGATTTTGAGAAGCTGGTGGCTCTGCATTTTGAGAATGGGACAGGAAGGAATTCAGGTCCTTTTAAAGGTCTCCCAATTTGCCAATAGACAAAATAAATGCATCCAAAATAGCAGAATCACGGAATTGTTGCAGTTGGAAGTCACCTCTGGAGAACATCTAGTCTTTGGGGAAAGTTATGTTTTGTTTATGGAGAAAGTACACCTATTTTCATTTGTTTTAGAAACAACTACAGAAAGCAAACCTATTGGGAACAGAGGCATATATTCTTCATTTATCATCACTATATTTCACCAACAAATATACTCACCTACCCTCTGCATCTCAAGAAATGCCAGAAAAATTGTTCATAGGAAATGACACAAACGAAAAATCCATGCAAATAAAAACAGGCACGCAATAAACAAGAACAACATTTTACCTGTGACTTGTATAACTCTAATAAGCACTGCAAGTCCAACCCTTTAAATTATTGTGCAAATTATAACCATCATCTTTTGTTAACAGTACAGCCTTACAGAATATAAAATTATGACTGTGGTACTGATATGCTAATAAGCTTTCTGCACTGTTGGATGGTTTAGCTGCAGACAGACTAATGCTGGCAGCAGATGAATAATTGCTCTCCATGTACTAAACATAACAAAGCTGCACAGAACTTCAGCATTTGTCAGCTTTATTTGTTTAAATGAGAAAAACACTGACAGCAGTTATTGCTGTAATCCTTTTATTTATCAGACAAGAAAACTCTAGTTACTCTTAGCAGGTTGGATCTTCTGGTGAAACCAAAAGTTGAAATATTTGTAAACTAATTCTGAGGTGCATGCTGCAATGTTCAGGCAAGAAAAATAAAGCAGAAGGAAATTAATCAAACTGTAATTATTTCATTTTTATCACACTAGCATCTACTAGCTCAGGCTCTCACTTTATGAGGCAGAGTACATAGAGAGAGCAAAGTTCCTGTTCCGCCACATTTCTGGAATAAACAGAAAAGGCAGACTATGGATTACTCTCTTTTCTGCAACTCAGGAAATAAGGCAGGAGAAGATGAAATAACTTGGTCTCTAACCGACCAATTGACTGTGGCAGCGCAGAGATGGAAACCTGTATCCACCGTAGTTGCAGTGTGTGTTGGCTTGCCTACACTGATTTTCTGCACAAACAGCAGCAAATCCACAACAGGAGAGACTTCAGTGCAAACTCTTCAAGCCCACCAGGACCCCTTACATTCTCAGGCAGCCAGCACGTGTCACAGCCCATAACTACAAAGCTTACAAAAATCCTTCCTCTCCTGCTGCTGCTCCTCCTCTTCAAATTAACAGTGACTCCTGTGCTACTCTAAGATTGTTATTTCTGCCCTATAAAAACAAAATCATGCGAAATTGGATTCCATGTTCATCACAATGACAGAATATACGCATTGTCTACCAACAGCTGTCCTTCCTGTCCTTTTATATGTACACGATACAGTGCTGTAGGTAAAACCCATCAGAACAGTGTGCCTTCAAGTGCCAAGTACTTCTTGCATATGCCTGGCTAAGAGGTTGCTGGCAGGAATTTATAGAGATGCTTAGATACATTTCCTGTATTCAGCATTAAATTTCCTCTTGTTTGGGTTTCTTGTTGCTATTTTTCACCACTTTTCTATACATCCTCGCAGAATTTTAATCACATAACAAATAGTGGAAGGATGGAAAAGGACAGACCCATTTTAATGTAGCGTAACCTCCCTTCAGTGAGCACACCAGACTCACACCCTTTAACCAGAGGCACCATCCTTGGCATAAATTCTAGTGCAGTTTTTCACAGATGGAGCCCACGCAGTACGCAGAACACTGTGCATGCTTGGTAACAGACATGTTTATGCCCCAGATTTGACTCCAGAAATGAGGGCACTGCCAGTATGCACGTTAATTCTAAAAAACCCCGATAGTCTCCTGTTTACTGAGGGCTAAGGAAGAGTTCCAAAATAATTTATGGATATGGATACATCATGGTGAAAGACTATCCATGCCTGTCCTTCAACATTACACTGTATATAGCCTTTACTTGCATTTTTGTGTCCTAAGGACCATTATGGTAGTTTTTGGAACTAAACTGACAGACACACTGAACTGCCTGGACCACACTTATGTTTAGAGAACAGTACTTTTAGGGTTAGCTGCATCCCTGGGCTAAATTCAGACCTGCAACGTTTATATTCCAGGTCCCATTTGCTAAGCCTATGCCTCTGTGTCTCAAAGCCCAATGTTACTGGTGTTATTTAAAAAAAACACCTAACGTTACTTTATCTTTTTTTATTGTGTTATTAATCCAAGGCTTAGAAAACATAATTGCAGTATTCACAAGACAGATTTTCATTAACCATATGGAAGAAAAACATTTAGTGACGACATTTCTTCTATATTGATTCAGCAATGCCTTTAGAAGTAAAGGTTATGCCTATTAAATTATTTTCGAAAAGGTAACTGTAAAAATTAAAATTCATCCAGATTAGCATTTACAAAGTCTTCAGTATGAAATTTCTCCAGAATGTGTCACTTAAAAAGAATGCCAAACACCACTTTAGGAGACGTAACTTCTTTTTAAATGGCATTTTTTTCCTCCAAAAAGGAATTTCTTGTATTGATAGAGAGGATGTTATGCATACACTGCTATTTCCAAGACATCGAGTTGCCTAGCAATCTTGGAATTTAAGAAGAGGAGGAAAGCAATAACAAAACAGAATTGTGAAATTACAAGACGGTGCAGCATTAAATTGGTTTGCAATACTTATCAAGATGCTTCTAAATGAGAAAAGATATAGGGTGTGCTGGGAGCATGATAAAATCTGTTGATCATTTTCAACAGTCTCCCTTCTCGTTCTCTTCTTTTAGATACGCACTTTTACACAATGGATTTCTCCTACTTAAATTTATTACCTACCAACTACCTATCACTGCTTGGGGGTGAAGGCAAATTTCAACCACCACATTGGCAGTTTTTCAGGGTTCATCCTGACAGAAATTTCGTAAAAGCATGTGTGTCTCTGTTTCTAGTTCCCACTACAAATTATGCCATTGAAATTCACAGAACTACTATTCCCTCCAAAACCATGATTTTCTTTCAGAAAGGTCACTGTCTATGGTTAGTGTTTGATCAGGCCCTATGTCTCCACTTGGAAAAGCTGGTGGTGCATATCCCGTCTGTTGCCATCTCTGTGTAACACCTCCTACATCTACAGTCAGTTTAATTCCCTTTGTTTTCCCCATTCATACTATGCTGCTTCTGCCAGAATCTGTGTTCCCCTTCTCTGCCTTTCAGCTCTGCCCTTTTCTTCCCCTCCTCCACCCACTGCTTTCTCTTTTGCATTTTGGGAAACGGCTTCTCCCAACTCTGCAAAGCTGTGTCTACATGGTACATCACAAGCAGACATGAGCTGGCTTTACCAACACACCAAGCTAACCAAAACACGTTGTCACAGTAGCCCAGCAATAAGCTTAGGCTGATACACTGCGCCCTCCTGCCATGGCTTATTGGCTGTGCTCAGGGCAGAGCGGACATCGTCGTGTGACTTCTGAATTAGAGCCGGTTCCCAGTCCTTCAGCTCGGTGCAAGCCTGCAGCTATCTACAAAGTCACACGACTCTCCTTGTTTGTGTATCTCTGAATGTGATCTCCTGTTCTTTGCTCCATTTCGTATATTGTTGATAGACACTGCATTCAGATAGATCTCCCGAAGGACACATTAGCCCTTACCTGTAGTCTCATCCATGCTTTCCTCAGACACGTGCTCATTTTGATGGACCCATTCACCATTGCACTTGAAGAAAATCTGCATAGCTGGCATAGCTTTACAGCGTAAGACAATGGGGTTGCTTTTTATAATGTAGGCATCATCTGGCTCCTCCATAAAATGAGGCAGTGTTCCAGGAGCAGATGGGATAGACTCTGGAAGGGCTTCACTGTTATCATTTCCTGAAAGGGAAGGAAAGGAAAATACACATTTTTCATGTTGTTGCACCCTTTGTATCATGTCATTGAATTGATTAAATACCATTTTGGATTTTATTAAAAACTAGTTTTATTACAGAAACACCTGCAGAACTCAATAGCTGTCAAGATTGTGCTTTGCAAGGAATTTGACACACATACACACAAAAAAAAATAAAATAATTTAAGTGTAAGAACTGTCAAGAAAATTGGCAGAAAAGAAGCATCAGACTCATCAGAAAACTGCATCATCACTATTGCCAATTTTATAGACGGGGAACTGAGGCACAGACAGATTAAATGAGTCACCTAAGGTCATACAGAAAGTCCATGGAAAAAGTAGAAACTAAACCTTATTCTCTTGAGTGACAGTCCAGTGCCTTAACTACCAAATCGTTCATTCTTTCACTGAATTTAATTTCCTTTAGACATTTGCTGCAGATTTTACAGGGATCAGAGTGTTAACCACAGAGAAATATATTGATATGAACAGCATTACTGTAGCGCTCCAACAGTGGAATAAGCAAACTGTGATTTCATACCCACTTAGAGGAAATTTTCAATATGCTTTTACACTGTTCCCATTTACTACAGCCCCTTTAAGGTGAGATAAAAGCGGAAAAGTGGTTTCTGTAGGGCCAGAAACTACAAGACTGAGCTTTCTCAGCTTATATCACAGACAGTATGATCCAAGGGCATTCATTCAGCAACGTATAAGCCCAGGTGTCTTACTTTCTGAATTCCTGTGCTTAGACATGAACATGGAAGGACTGGAACACAAGCTTTTCCTTTACTACAACTCTCCTAATTGAGTCAAATCCTAGTTGCTGCTGTCAAAACCAGGAAATTCCCATTGATTTTTAGGAACGCTGGGATTTATTTCAGTAGTTTGTCAGTTTTGTGAGAAAATTCAGAGAACAGCAACAAAAGTAAGTCAGAAGGGATCAATTTATGAAGGAAGATTAGAAAGTACTGAATACTGTTATCATTTGGCTACTACAACGTAGCCAAATGGTAACAGAGGAGGACATAGTCTATATGCAGATGAAGGGAACACAGTATCAGAGAAAGAGGAATAGCTGAGGGCAATATACATGTGATTTAACCAAAACCAATGAAATTAAGTTAGATGAAAGATAAGTTATGATGATATGAAGTAAGTCTAAATACCTTCACAGGTCTCCACAGATTACGGAGTAATGAGAACAGGCTTTGCCTTTATTTCTATTAAAAACAGGTATCTCTCACTTAGCACTCAGTGTATCTGTGTGTGCAAATATACGCTGTGTATGTGCTGTGAGATCATTACGACTTTCAAATGAATTCAATGTTTTAAACTACATTCACAGTGTACTTTATAAAATACTATCATAACTTTTAGCATTTTACTACTGAACATTTATGCCAATTTCCATCTTGTCAATCTTCAGTAATACTGCGTCCCTGCAGGCTTTATTAAATCCATGCTTTATAGGAAATAACAAAAATGTCATTATAAGATTTTGGAGAGGCTTGGAAATCCCATGCTCCCATCAATGCTTTGAGTACTTCAGAAGGCAGCAACACGCTTGTGCTGAGGAAGAATAGCAGACAATTTTATAAGGATCATTCAGCGAGAGAACTTAGAATGACCCATTGTTATTCCAGCAAATTTGCTATTTAGGGCAAGACACAAAGGATTAAACCCCAGCCCCGCTGAAATTAAGGGCACAATTCTCCTCGCAATGTGGCATCCGGATTTAATGATATGGCTTTACATTCTTGTTAAGTGTTTCTGATGAGCACCTGAAAACAACAGATTCTACACCTCCTATGGGATTGCTATGCCTTTGTCCAGCTCACCTCACCAACAGATAAATTGAGTGAAGCACAAAATATTTTATGCTATCACCAGCAGAGTGTATTTCAGCTGTGGAAGTGGCTCACTCCTAAAGAAAACATCTACCATAAAGAGGTAAGTCAAGGTGCATCTTTTCACTTAGATGTAACTGGCACTACATTAAGTGCCCTTGGCAATCAAACTAACAAAGATCACACGACACAAAAGGAGGAATGATTTTCTATATCCTATCCCCAACAGACTCACAGATAGATATTACTATATTTTTGCATGCTGTACAAATGTAATTGCTTGAATTCACTGTTGTACAACATTTTATAATCCAGATGAAATCAGCATCTGGCAAGAATGTACTTCACTGAGTACAAGAGGTAAGCAAAGCAACTCATTACCCTATCCCGTGTGAGGTTAGGCTGGAATGCAACTCTGTGCCTCTAAGAAAATTCACAAAGGATTTGCATTCCTTGCTTTTTGTTTATGGAGACAGTACTTTTCTCCATATGGCTACCTAATCAGACAGGGACTGCAATGACACCCATTAACAGTGTTGTGATATCTAGAAGTTTTGCATCATAAATATTTAGTGTGATTTATGATACACAAGACTTACTTTACTGGTCCTTTTATCATGCTTAAACAGAAGAGTCACACAGCAGTATTTCAGATACATTAAAATAAATACCCTTCTGCATTTAAATGTCGCACTCTAACCCTAATTTAAATGACATTTCCTGCCATGCACACTAAAAAAAAAAACGTTTGATGATGAGACAAGTTGCAGTGTCTACAGCTCCCTGGGACTGGAACAGGTATGATCACACTCTGAACAAGTGCTACTGTTTACTTAACCACAGCTACAACAAGAAATTTATCAGTGAATTGAGAATGCATACTCGTCCATTTTTAACAGTCTACTGATGCCAAGAGTGAAGTTAGATTAACAAATGAGGTATTTTTTTCCTTCACTTTCAAAGGGCATCCTTTTCTTCACTCTTACTTTTTTTTTTTTTTCATCCACCCTGCATCTTCTGCTAGCAAGGACTCCTTTCTAGCTTTGGAGTCCTTCCAGCTTTTATCTCAAAGCTGTATGTTCTTACCAATCTGTATAAGTAAAGTTTGTCATACTAAGGAAGGACAGACTCGTACAGAACTTCTCTCAGCGAGGGCTCTGAGAGTGCTTTACAAATCTTAAAACCACAGCATAAACTAGAAGACTCTGCTTTAGCAGAACTGCATTTATGTTTCACACACTACCTTCTCAAACATCTATACAGCAACTAAATGCATTTAAAAGCAATCAACATTAAGTCTGATCTCTGAAATGTTCCTGTTTAAAGACCATAGTACACCAATTAGTATGAAAAAAATTTAGCACTTGTACAAGCTGTCCACCATTAGATACTCACACGTTCATTGACAGCCATCTGAATCAGTGGTGTTCTGTGATTACCTTAAATTTCTTCAGTAACAAACATTGGTAAGAGGTACTGTCTCTTCTGGTATTACCTACTAGATTAACAGACTCCATACCTACACACAGGCATGACAGAACTGAAAAATTTTCTCTTTCTAAGAGATACTACTCTGATTCCACTAGTTGGTATGTTGCAGTAAACCCAAAAGAACTCCTTCCAGTACACTGAAGTTCTTTCAACCATATTGTACTATCAATAAAATTCAAATTTGCTACATCCTTCTCCCTGTATTTTTGCAACTGTTAGAGGGCAACTTCTGACATACTGGTTTCGCTGTGTACTATCACTTTTTCAAGTTGATGGGCCATTTCCTCAAGACCACAGCAAAAACTGGTCTCTTGATTTCAAATTGCATTGTCTAGCTCACTGCTCATCTTGCTGCTGTATGAATAAGAGGTCACGTAACAGACTTTTGTACAAGCTTCAGGGAGGGTAAAATTATGTGAACAAAGAGACTAAAGAAAGGAGTATTTGGCCCAAAACATTATTTCATGTTCAAGTCCTAAGCAGTTTGTCTACTGCAATCAATAGCAAAGCAAGATTAGATGAATTATTATGAGGCATTTCAACTCTCTAAAAACAGTCTAGAAGTACTTAGCTGAAACAGGAAGATGCATGGAGCCAGCCAAATCTGTATCATGCAACTCACCTCCTTCAACTGATCACTTGAACTGAATGCAGTTCATTGTTTCAGAAGTATCCTTCTTGAAAGTACACTACAGAATCCGAGCATTCCGGAATATAAAATGAAGACACCATATGATTAAATATGTAAATATGTAAGTAACAGGAGCTGTCACAGACCTTAATCACATCAGTGCTAATTATATAAACCATAGGAAGATGATGCCCAGACTGATGTTCTGACATTCTAAGAATCAGATACTGCCCATTCTTAATCAGGTAGAACAAATCCCAGGGTCGAGTCCCAAAAAATGTTATTCAGAAGGCTATTACTGATGTTATATAAATACACACGCATTTCAGGATAAATAATATTTTAGCTGAGATAACTACAGTAGCTGCTGACCAAAGCAAAGCCTCTCCTAAAGTGCACTTAATACTTGGATTTTTTCACTTAATGCATCTTTCTTTTGTGCATCATCATTTCTGTACCCTAACTTGTATTCAAATTCATCTGAAAGCCTACTGGAACTTTGTAAGGGTTTTGATTTCAAATTAGTAAGGTTTTTCATTTATAACTGTCAGTTTTCAAGATTCAGGCCACTCATAGTTATAGAAAAATGGCTGTTTTAATGCATCAGTGAATGACAGAAGACCAAACTATCAAACACAATTCTTGTATTTTTCATTCCTGGAAAATTACCTTCCAGGAAGTGTTTTGTGTTTTATGTTCTGCACACTAGTCCAATAGGAACTTTAAATCTTTTTATGACAATAATAGAAACAAAAAAGAAAGGAGGGGGGGAAAAAAAAGTTAGGAACAAACACTAAATTCTTCTACGAAATAAATATACTGCTGTTAGTTGTCAGATCACATTAGAAAACCTTGATAGCAGCAGACATGAATCTTTCAGTATTCCAAAACTCATTAGGATATAATTTAGATCTAAAAGTGAGATTTTTAAAACAATGAAAAATCATGAGTTCTAAACTTTTTTCCAAATTAAGAATTATTTAAAATAAGTAAGTAGCATTACTTTCTATATTTAAAAAAAAAAAAAAGTTAGGCGTGACCCAAACAAGCCAAGTAACTTGCTGTTATGAATAATCCTTTTGTAACAATCATCCTCATAAGACAACTACATCCTCTATTGCCACCCATCATGGAAGATTCAACTATTATCACCACCACTTTCAGATTATAAAACCGAGTATAAATTGAAGTATTCTCTATTCCCTTTATCTCTCCATCTCCTCCCCCCACCCCTACAAAAAAGAAAATAGAGTTGTCTAAGGGCTGGAAGCACAGATACAAAAACTGCTCATAAATCTCTAAACACAGTCACTTTTAAATTTTGGTGGTACAAGAAAAGCAAAGCTCTAGACAGAGTAACAAACATGATTATTTTCCTACCTTAGTTTCCTCCCACTTTAATGAAGCATTCCTAAGAACAGAGGATCCCTGCTTTCCCTTTCTCCCTGTGGGATTTTTTTTGGTTTAGTTTTTTTTTTCTAATTTCTGTAACTGCCCTGAAGACTATTTCCTTCCTTTATTAGCTGTGCCCACAGGGAGACGAGCCATTCTGATATAAAAGCACTCCCTCTAACTTCCTTGCCTTGCTCAAAAGTTCCTCCCCCTTTGCTTCCTTTTTCCAAGTCCCCTGAATTTATAAATCTTGGCATTAGCATTTGGTTTCTTTATTAGGCTTTTGGATATCTTCCTGCACTCCAAGCCTTACTCCCCTGTAGGCAATGCAGAAAAAAAATGCCTTTTCCCAGATGTAAACATCCCAACCACTTGTTTTAGACAGGTCTATGCACTAGTGGAAAGACAATTAGCGATGACCAGAGTTCTGGACACTCACTTTCTTCCCTTTCCATGTATCTGATGCTGCTGATTCCTGTTGAACTTTGAACCACTTGCAGTCATTATTTTCTACAAAACTAAATAATGCCAACTGTCTTCTACACATACACTCATTTTTACAGGAAAGTCAGAAGATGAAAAAATTCATATTACAGAATACATAACTTCCTTACGCACAGAATGGTTTTCATAATGAAATCCGAGTCATCATTCAGTCAGAAAAGCAACTTAGTGAGATTTGTCTATTTTCTTTTAATCAGATGACCCTGTCCTATATGCAACAATGTGGGTTTTTTGGAAGTCACTCAGATATTGATGCAAGTATGAGATTTTGTTTCCCACATGAAATCCTTTAATGCCTTTGTTATTTCCTCTAGTACACGGATTTACTAAAGCCTATAGGGACATGGTATTTAGCAAAGATTGACAATACAGGAACAAGTGAGAATGGTCGGTAATAAAACATGCATGCTGATGAGTTTCACTGCATAATTTTCCTTTAAACTCTATATATTGAAGGGGAATCCAATTATTACTTATTCAGCACTCCTGGTTAATGATACAGAACTGCTTAATCGGTATGACTGCCACAGACCACCTACTCTACGGCCATTTTCATTTGCCTGCCAAATCTGTATCAATATATGATACAGATTTGTAGACAAGCAAAGTGGCACTAACTGATGTTCTGTTCCAGACTCTGCAATCTCAGAGTCAGTGTTTTCTCAGTGTTTCCTGCTGTTTCTACTTAAGTATATTCCCCAAAGATATAATTTGTAAACTTAGAGAAGTGCTTCATTTTTTTAAAAAATGTTTTTAACTGAATTCCTGGTTTCTTCTGGCTACTATATAGCACAATGCCAGATCTAGTTTTATTAATGAATGTCTGCATGCACCTCCAACACCTGTGGCAATGCACAGATTTTTATATATATATAATATCCATGTACTATGACCACTACTATGCTGATACTACATCTGTTGTGTACATTATATGCTTCTTTCAATGTAAGCCATTTTATCTGTGTAACCTGACACATAATTGCACACAAATGGAAAACTACCACGCGAGCTGTTGGTCCTCCTCTTCTCCAAAAACACATACTTTTCAGCAAATTCAAGAAAAACTTCATAAGACTAGTAAAGGCAAAGAACTAAATACTTAATTCGCTTGATTGGGGATTAGGAAAAATAATCTTTGATATTCTAAACTTCAATTATGATCTGTGCTGCATGTAGTTATGTATAATATACTGGAGAAGAAGAAAAATGTTGTTGAGCACGTGTGAATGATGCAAAACTATGACACCCAGTGAGAAAATTCTTGAAGACTGTTAACACATACTGCAAAAGCTAAAAAACTTTCTTCCTCCTGCTCCTCGATATTTAAGATGACCACAATCAACATGGGAATGGTACACTCAAAGAGCCATCCCTGGTTACCAGCATGTGATCCTGTTGACGGACTTGGTCATGAGCTATGCGGTAAAATTTTCAAAACTGTTCCAGTAACTTGCGCTTCAAAGTAATTTCTGTTACCAAAGGAACTACCCAAGACTTTATCCTCAATGCTCTTAAATATTTGTACCAACATCTCAACCACTGGTGACCCTCAACATAAATGTCAAAAATAGTCCACATTTGTTCCTAGTCCTGTTGGGAAAACGAGGCTGAAGCTGGAAATGAAGAACCCACACCATTACCAGTTAGCAGTTTCCACTAAACAAAGCAAAAGAAGAACAAGATATGGTATGAATATGCTACAGCAAAACAATGAGTAGGGAAAGCAGTACTGCTTATGTTCAGACACATTCATTATCCAGTGTTACTTTCCACCAGATTTCACATGACAATGATTTGCTTAAATGATGAATATTTAATTCAGCAAACGAATATATTAAAAGCAGCTTGGGAAGAATGTTTTCAGAAAGAAAATGTGCTTATACACCTGTAAGTACACTATGCATTCACAGGTAAGAACTACAATGTAGGTAAACCTTTTCTCATTGCAGATTTTCCCACAATGCCTATAAAATTTCTGTATAGGGTTTAATGGATTAATAAAATTGGATTTAATTCAATCAATAATTGATTGGGGGGAATCTTTGGCATTGTATTTTACTGTTGGTATGATGTGATTAAGCATAGCAGAGTTTGCTTACATTTGTGTTACTATCAATTAAGCCTACTTTATTTTGGTAAATGAACCATGTTATAAGAAACTGGTCAATATTAGAAGGAAACTTCACTGCATGTGAAAGGCATGGAATTAAGAACCCTTCTTAATGTGACTTCTGTGCCTAACCAAACATTATAAGACAGTTGAAACACCTTCAAGCATATGGAACAGGTAATTGCAACTGAAGCACATACATATATCGTAAATATATATATTTAGGGTCATTTTTCTTTCTCCCATGAGATGTTTGTTCACTTCTCATTTCAGTAGGGCCTGAAATTATAATTAGGTTGCCAAGACAATATTGCACAAGTATAAGATAATAATAAAATATCAAGGTGGAAAAACATAAAGATGTCACTGATGTTTGAACTGAAATGACTTTCTGATATGAAAACAAAACAATGTCAGTGCAAGTCTGCAGAGACAATGATACAACAGTAATGCAAAACTGTCAGTGCCAATACAAGTCTACATTTACAGTTTCCTCTATAGGAAACAGCACAATGCCAGTGGAAATCAACGTGATTTCTGTAAAAGCACCTTTTGCCCATCTACTCCTCTCTAATTTGCACGCTGGCACAGGGTGTGGTTGAGCGGATGTGTATTGCACATGAAGGGAAATCTTCCAGAGGACT